TGAGGTCCCTTGCTTCGTCATGCCTCATGCATATGAAGCCCCCTTTCTTGCACACCATGGCGTGATCGACGTCATAGGAAGAGCCACACACGTATTGGGAGGGCAAACCTTCTACTGGCCAACCGTACCTTAGAGCAATGGCATCTGTAAATTCTTGTTTATTGAGACTGAAACCATTTACCCTTATCGGTAATGTAGTTAACCAGTTCGAGGCGCCCACCTCCTGCGCTATAGCTACTTTTTTTCAAATTCTCTGGTATTTGCAGCAATAGATGCTGCAGCTTGTCACTTTGGCCGTGTCGTTCTGTCGTAAGAGACCTTTGGATCTTGTTTACTTCACTGGTATCCACCTCCCCTGTTGCGTTCTGAGCTATTATGTGGTTCGTGAGGGCTGCTGTGAGCTTAACTGAGTTTTGATGCTCAGCGGCAGCAATCTCCTCTGGATTGGTTAGTCCCATTCCTCCCAGTCTCGGTGGTAGTGCAAGGAGTGATCTTTCTGCTGGGGTTAGGTGAGGGTGTTTCACTAATTTGGGAATGAAATTGATGCTGATAGCTTCTTCCAGGGGGTGAAGGAGGGTCCCACTAACCTACCTACCTAACCTACTTACCTACCTACCTCCCTACCTACCTAACCTACCTACCTACCTAACCTACCTAACCTACCTACCTAACTAACCTACCTACCTACCTACCTACCTATCTACCTGCCTACCTACCTAATGTACCTACCTACCTACCTAACCTTACTACCTAACCTACCTAACCTATTTACCTAACCTATTTACCTAACCTACCTACCTACCTACCTACCTACCTACCTACCTAACCTACCTACCTACCTAACCTACCTGAAACGGATGGTTAATTCCCAATTAACCATGTTGGTTCACATATATTATATTGTGCTTTTGTAATGAAACCCAATTGAAGTTTCTTGTTTTATTAGAAAAGTATTATGTTTATATAATTCCTGAGTGTAGGTCAACCGTAAGTTCCACTGTTTATGAGTGTGATGAGAAAGGACGACGTTTAGGTAATATAAACGTGGATCAACGTCCGTTCGATATTAGTTGGTGTGAGTGATCGCTTGAAGGCGTTGCCTTGGTGAGCGCTTACATAGATGCTGACATATGGGCTTCTCCCTCTTGGGAAAGCTACTGTTCACGTGTTCAGTTCATGTTCTCACAGATAGTGGAAAATTACAGGGGTTGAATCTGAATATAAATCAGATGTAAATAACCCATTTATATAATACTTCTGTTGATGATTCAGAGGCCATTACATACCTACCTATCTAACCTACCTACCTACCATACCTACCTAACCTACCTACCTAACTTACCTACCTAACTTACCTACCTACCTACCTACCTACCCTAACCTAACCTACCTACCTACCTACCTAACTAACTTACCTCCCTACCTACCTACCTACCTACCTACCTACCTACCTACCTAACTTACTTACTTACCTACCTACCTAACTTACTTACCTACCTACCTACCTACCTACCTACCTACCTACCTACGTAACTTAGTTACCTACCTACCTAACTTACCTACCTATCTAACTTACTTACTTACCTACCTACCTACCTAACCTACCAGGGCCGGATTCAGGAGGGGCAAGAAGCCACCCAGGTGGCTCTGCACAAATTGGGGGCTCCACTTATTACAAAATTTCTATTTATTTGTTTATTAATTTGGATTATTTTTATTTTCATTCTTATAACTATGCTTTATCTATTCCATCACAAAAACTATGTTCAGCGTTAGCGTGATAGAAATTAGGCTTAGCTACTCTGAAATCCATGAATACCTGGTTTTCCTCTATGAACCATATATTTTTAATGAACGCGTACGTTTGTGTTACACAATATTTAAATTCCACTAACATATATTGATTGCAAAATGAACGCATGGAATAACGAATTGAGATTAAAAAAACAAATAAATTTTTTTTCATTATCACTTCCATTATTTAACGCCATCAGGGCGCTGTGTTTGTTGACAGTCGGTCGGAGGGTTGGTCTATAGCATTCGCACATCGGTTGTCATGTGTTTGTCGATTAAAGAGGAGACTTGTGTCGCCCATGATCTGTGAACTTCCCAAGAGTAGACATAAAATACAAGTCTTGCAGTTGTAAAATGGAGAGGAGAGAATTGTCATGTGCTTGTTGGAGTGAAGTCGTCGCCGCTCAGTGATGAATGATTTGTCAATTGTCATTTCCTAGAACATGTCTTGCAAATGTACAGTGAGAAAAGGGAGGAGAGAGAGTCGATTGATGCTTGTTGTGCTTGGAGTGTGGTGGGTGCTCTAGAATATATGCTCCACATATGTAATTGTGCTTTAAGATACTACAGGTCGATTGACTGCAAGTAAGTTGAGTTATTTTTATGTATTTTGAGTACACTAACTATGTCAATGACGGTTTCACGTTCCACGATCAGTATATACAGTATAACACAGTATAGTCAATGGTAAAAAGAGGAACTTACAGCTTTTGGGGTGGGACTGGAGAAGTCAGAGGGAGAGGTCATAATCTACCTCTAAATTCCAAATTTAAAAATATGCTTGCGTCCAAAATGTTCCAGGGAGTTAAGTAATCAATTAACCTCTCCATAAAAGTAGCAAACCAATCGGCCAATTTGAGCATGCTTTTTAATTATAACGAAAAATTAGGTGTCCTTCCTTATGATGAAAATTATTGTTGTAAATGAGTGGAATAATATGACACAAAGGTGTACGACGTTTCGAAAGTGGTGCTGCAAAGAGAAAGACATTCAAAAGAACGTGCTGAGAGAGAAGGGTAAAAGAATTTACAAAACATCGTCGACTGGACTGAATTCTTCACTGTCCATCAGCTTCAGAACATCTAGTCAGTGTTTGCAAGCTCATCTTCAAGGCAACCAGAACAAGTACCTGCAGATATGTGATGTACCAGCTTCCTTCTTTTATATGGCAGCTCTAGCCTATCGCCAGGGGAAATGACCAGACTGCCGAGGAGATTGAAATTGAATCAAAGCATGTGCTCTCCTGAAGTGCAAGGCAATGACAACTACACAAAAATTATGACAGTGACATTAGCTTACGGTCAGAACATTTGACAAAACAATGTATTGATTAATGGGCTGCGAAATCTGGTTCTGAGAGTCCTTCCACCACAGTGATGCTAAATTTGAAGTAAAATCAGCAGTATTAAAAGATGCAAACAATGTCAGCTGCAAATGCGCACCAGCCATGTTTGAGCGAAGGAATCGAAATGGGGAAGTTGTACGCGTTCTGGCTTTTGTTTCTCCCCCGCAAATGCGGGCAGGTCTACTGCTTCTTTTGCAAGCTAATGGGTGTTACAAGATCTCAATTTACATCTGATGGGTTCTATGACTAGAAGCATGCTGGATGTTTGTTGTCCATGAGCAATCAAAGGACCACATTCAAGCAGTTTTGTCAGCAGCAGTCGTGCAAAGGAGCTTGAGGTATAGATTCTAAACCAACTACTCATGGGTCAAATTGAGCAGTATTGGTGTAGTCTTCATAGCGATTGATCAGCGTGCTTAAATTTATATGTGAAAAGGCCAGGCTCGTGGAGATGATGAAATACCCGATCTCTCATAATGGAAATGCATTGATTACTAGAGCTTTTGGTCGAGTATGATGATTTCTAGCAACACCTCCAGAATCATAATCGTGGCACTGGTCATACCAACTATTTGTTCCTCAACCATCTGTGAAGAAATTGTCAGACTAATGGGCAATGAAATACTGGAACAAATGAACTCACGTATAAAGCTCTCTCAAAAATATTGCCCTAATTTCTCTAGATTCCACCCCCTGATGAAGGCCATATTGATGAAATCAACTTTGATAATCAGAGCTACATGGAGCATGACACACCTGTTGAGAGATTTGTGAAATTCTTGCCAAATCATGACACAAGGCTCAAGAAATGTTTGAAGGGTTTGATGGAAGTTTCTGCAGACAATGACACGGATATTCAAAATTGTCGTGGGCAATCTTATGATAATGCAACATCTATGAGTGGAGGTACACGGTCTGCAGCAAGCCAAAGTTGTAAAATGAAAAATCGTCATGCAATTTGGATACCCTGTGCTGGTCATTCATAAACTTGCTGAAAAGTTTTGCAGCTTGAATGTTGTCAAGAAGCTATCTCATTTTTTTATTTTCTGAGGAATTATGTTTTCACAGCTTCTATACATCGTTGCGCAAATCTTAGCGATTTATTGAAAAACTGTAGCGTCTGCCCGGTATCTGTGCCAAAGAGGATTTCCACAACAAGATGGTCCTGTCGAGCAGTTGGGCAGTGAGAGCAGTAGCGTCCAAGGTTATCTCCCAATCTCGTGAAGCATCATGAAATAGCTAGAGATGAAAAATGAGAAGAGAAACATTATGAAGCCAATGGTCTCCATGATAAGATGTGCAAGTTAGAGACTGCTATTGCGCGTGTTTGCACATTCTGGCAGAGTTGATGCAACAAACCATGCATTGCAAGATCCTAAACTCGATTTGAACACAGCAGTAGCAATGCTGAAGTCCTGAATGTTTTGTAATGAGAAAAAAAAAAGAGATTGTAAAAAAGATTGTGTAAGGGCAAGGAAACGATCTTCTATACGTTACCGCTGATAACTCTCTCGTTTGCTGGTGCGACCAACACTTGCGGGCATACCAGGGTTGGTTTCAGAGGTGAGAACGGCGGCGGCTACCTGTAATGTCACCAGGGAGATTCACTCCAGCCATCGCTTTGATACAATCTATCTACCCGCTGTTTAATCAAATTCTGGCTGTGATCTCATCAAAGGTCCTCCTGGATTACGTGGGCTGATTTCCCCAGACCTTCACAATTCGTCTGTTAATCTCTGGACACCTACCCCAAACCTACTACCGCAGCCGCCACGGCCGCCAGCTCCCTCCACCGTCTGTGCCCCAGTGTTTTTCCGTCTGCTGTATCAAGACCTTAGGCCGCTGTTGCTGGAAGTAAAGGAAGCCTGTTTGGACCACCCCCCAGACCCTGCCGTGGGAAATATCTGTTCATTGTTTCATTCTATTGTTTGAGTTCCTTTAATTGCTGAGCTCCTTTTATTGTTGATTCTATCAGTTGTTGACTCCCCATTAATTGTTTGATTCATTAATTGTTTGATTCTATTAACTGCGATTCCCATTAATTATTTGCTTCCCTTTTAATTGTTTTGCTTCCTTAATTGCTTGACTCCATTAACTATTGACTTGACTTAATTGTTTGACTCCGTAATTGTTATTTGATGTTTGTTGGTGGTGTCAGAGTTTATTATATTTTTTATAGTAAGAGATGTCAATCTCAAACGGTTGTTGTTATTCTCAGAAAACCATGGTCCTTGGCTTTCCTTTATTAAGATCCTGATTATCTGGTAAAGAGATTTCTATCCTAAGTCCCAGGCTCTTACAAGATTGCGTAAGATGCTTAGTTTCAGGACTTTTTCCTGATAGATCAACGGAGTCTGAGAGACCCGTATCTTCTCGGCGTGGGCCGCGTGCATCCCACACAGAGCCCACTGTTGTCTTCTCTGTGCTAGTTGGAGCTTGAGGACAAGTATCATCTCCGATGTGGGTACTAGCAGTGCATCGATGTGCGTACTTGTGCATCACATCCAGGAACCGCTATTGTCTCCTCTATGCTGATTTGGGTTTGGGGATAAATACCACCATCTCAGTTGCGGGTACTTGTACATGCATGCACATGAGAGAGACCACTATTGTCTCTCTGTGCTAGTTGGAGTTTGGGGGACAAGTATCATCTCCGATGTGGGTACTAGTGCATCGATGTGGGTGCTGTGCATCCACATCAGGAGGAACCTATTGTCTCCTCTGTGCTAGTTGGGTTAAGGGGACAAATATCGCATTAGGGTGTGGGAGGCGTGGGATCTGGGACTTTTGCAGAAGTGGAAAGGCAGGCCAAAAGTTTAAGAACCACTGCGTGACTAAGAGGATGTATAGTCAGCCCGCCAAGGCTTCAGCCATCAGAGGACACACAAAAAAAGGCCACAAATCAATTTACTCAAAAATAATGTTATCTCGACCAAATACAATGCTCTCTCCACTGCTACAACAATCTTTTAGACTATAATGAACATACACTTTAGTTAGCACCATAATTATCCATGATTGCCCAAATAATAATAGATACATATCACTACAAGCTTGACCCATCATCCTCCTCAACCTAGCTACATATACCCCAAACAAAATTTCCAATACTTTATTGATTCATAAACATATAATTTATAATTCTTTATACTTCACAAACTACTTACAATCTTTTATAATGTATAAAAAATAAAAATATGTTCTACAAAGTTTACATAATGAAACAAATACTAGTATACATTCTAATATAATAATAACAGACATTTTTTAAAGTCTTTACCATAAGTTTGGAATTTCGATTCTAAAGAAAAACGGGACACAATAGAAACTAAATACAATGGGTAACTGAAACAAATATTACTGCGGAAAGGGGAGATGACCGTAACACTACCTACCTACCCTGCCTACTTACCTACCTAACCTACTTACCTACATAACCTACCTACATAACCTACCTACATAACCTACCTACCTACATAACCTGCCTAACCTACTTACATAACCTACCTACCTAACCTACCTACCTACCTACAGTACCTATCAACCTACCTATCTACGTCCTCATTTCATGGCAGGTTGAGGCAGTTATACGAGTGGCTTCTTCCTTGACCCCGCAGCTAGTACCAGAGCCGTCGTGAGGTGCGACAGTGCTGCTTAACTCCTCGTTCGAGTACTGCCATACCTGCCATATTGGGAAATATGTTGTTGGGTGAGTAAGTCTACCCCTCTCTTTGTTTCTTTCTCTCAGTCACTCTTGGTTTTGCTGCCTGTCATTCCTCTCCCTACCTCTCTTTGATATTCCAGATTCTCTCTTTTTAAGTTCAAATGTTTACTTGAACCGTTACCGTGTCACAGTGAAAACACACACACACACAGTTATAGCTCACCAGTTGTTGTGTAATACACGTGTTTGTTTGTCTTTGATCTTTGTCTTTACACCACACACACACACACACACACACACACATATACTCCTGTATCACACACACAAAAAAGCACCTTCATTACACAACAGCCACAAACCACGTGACAGGAAATGAAAAGGTTAGATTCCAACAAAGTCAATGTATCCACTTAGCAAGGCTCCACTTGTCAGTCCAGTATTTATGAAAGGTGTTCCAGGAACCCCTGACAGGTATTCACCGCGAGGACAACATCAGGAGTGGCCTCTTGTGGGTCATACTGTATTCCCCTCCTGGATATTCAAGAATCGTAATTCTGCTACTATAAAGGACACTTGATACGACTGATAGTTTTAAAACCTATTTTTTGTTGATGTTTAGGTTCGATTTCTGAGATTACTAGGAGGAAGCACTAATACTGTACTTATTTAAATGTGGTTAGGTTGTCGTCCCGTGCATCGTACTCAGCTTTCTGGAAAATTCAGTGAAGGACGATGAATTTTACATATGACCTCCATATCTGTCATGTTTGCCTCATCTACTTTGACATTTTTTTTCAACTTCCAGAGATAACCAATTATTTTCGTATGAAGCTTGATCATCAAAATTGTTAATTCTGCTTCGGCTATATTGACATATTGCGGGTTAAATATATAATAAATTCTTTACGTATATGCTATTTCTTCCTCTGCTGCGTTGACACTTTGCAACTTACAGATATAATTACGAATAAATTGAAGCAGACTTATGCATGTTGTTGGCGGAGTAATTAAAGAGGCGAAAGTTCACTTTTTGTTTTTAATCCAGCCGACAAGGGAGATTAATTATGATTGGAATTTTCCCACATATTCACGTTCTGAGTTGTAAGTAATTCTTCGGAGTTCACTTGTAAAACAGGTGTAGGTGTGTGTGTGTAAATTTATGTACATGGTAAAATATATCGGTTTATTG